TTTATTTGTTTCAATTCAGTTCACTTAAATATCCGGCAAACAAATGGTACACTGTCAATACAGCCGACTGCTTGCAATGGTCGTACAAACCAAACGGAACAACTCTGCAGATGTATTAGCAAACCAACGTTTCAGTAGTCGCGATGTTGCATCAATGAAACACTGATTAGCCGACGTCATCAACATCTTCGGATTCTCTTTAAATATACCACCTTTAAAGTTTTTTACTTTCCACGTGTACTTTTTTGCTTTGATACAGATCAACTTTATATACTATGCAGATTTGAAAAGAGAGAGAGGGAGGGGAAAAACAACGTTTGATTTCCAATATTTTATGACAAACAGATGCCATTATCATTATCATCATCATCAACTTCTTCATCATTATCAACGATAAATCATAAAAGGAAAAAATGCAAAAAAAAGGAAAAAATTGATCAAAAAATGGATGAAGAAGAAGTCATTATTCAGACAAAGCATATAATCGTCAAATTGATATTAATGTCTCAACAAAACAACAACAACAACAACAACAACAACAACAGAAAAAAAAAAACACAAGTCATCTCTGAACTTTTATTTGTCCTTTTTTTCTTTTTCAGACATAAATAATACTCATTTCGTTGTTTATTTGTTTTAATTAGCAATAATAGTGTGGTAATAAAAAAAATTGGGGAAAAAAAATATGAATATCAATTGCTAATAACGGCCGACAAAAACAACAATAACAATGGATATCTTTGTTATAGCAATCAATTCTTTCTACAACTACCTATCCCTAGAAAATAAAAAAATCTATTAAAATTGTAAAAATACAAAAAAAAAGAGGAAAACGTTTAATGTAGTAAAATTTTTCCCCACTCTTTTTTTTCTGCCATTATTTTCTAAATTTTACCGTTACTACCATCAATTCTTCAACTGCACTGTCAAATACCAACACTGTACCACATACTGATACTAATCACTTTATCCGTTTCTTAGGTATACAACGTTTTCACTTGATAAATAAGCATCTCTGAAGTATTTTGGAAGTAACTTTTTTGGTGGCGTTTCATTATCTAAAAGTGACGACTGTATACATCGATAATTTAGCACCACAACAGTTTGTCATTAACCTTATCAGAATAATCATTAAACAGTTAAACCAAGATACCTTTGAAAAAAAAAAAATAATAATAAAATATTTGCACTTCTTCCATCTGTCTTTCTTTTTCTTTTTTGAATCCATTTTTCCCCTGCAATCATCAAAGAAAAAAAAAACGCATAGGGTAATAAACATTTAAAAACAATAATAAAAGAAACAGAAATTAAAAAAAGAAAGAAACTTAAACACCTCAAAAAGTTTTTTGTTTTTATTTTTATTTTTTTATTTCTTTTTTTGCTGAATAACGCTTTTTCTTAAACTAAAATATCAAATTTTTCAGTGAATATCATTGAGTGTTGGACCACCACTACTGCTCAACAGTGCTATTACAAAGACAATTATCATCATCATAACTATAATCACCACTGTCACCATTACAATTAGAAACAAAACAAAAAACAAAAAAAGACTAAAATTAACATCATCATTTTACTACCACACAGTTACTGCAATTTAACAATTTGGCAGCTAACACTGATTTTTGTTGTACAGTTTGCTGTAGTAATTTTGGTTGGAATAGAATTGCAAAAAAAAAAAAAAAAGTGGATGTTCAGCCGCGACATTTTCCAAATGTTCCTTTCTTCTATCCGAAACACTAAGAATAGAGAAGGGGAGAGAGAGGGGAGGCGGTAGGGAAAAGTGAGGAGAAAAGAAAAAAGAATTGGTGACAAATGTTTTTTTTTTCCACTCTTATATGTATATATTTTTTGGTATTTCTTGCCTGTTTTAAGAGTAAATATAATCATTCCACTTTATTATGGGAACATCTATCGAATTACTGATGCATTTTCCATTTGTCTATTTCTAATTTTATTCTTTTTTTTTTACCTTTTGCTCAACAATCGTCCAGCCTTCTTTCCTCTTTTTTGGAACAGTCCAAAAGACAAAAACGAAAGATTTGTGACTGCTGCCGATTTAAACAGATCCAAACACCTCAGCAGATTCATTGGATTTAGTGAAATCAATACCAAATTTAGAAAGTTTAAGATCAATAAGCAGCAAATCAATGTGTCAACAGATTATAGTCTATTTGATACTTTATATCTTTCCCAAAAAAAAAATTTTTCTCTTCTCTTATGGTCTTTAAAAAAAAGTACTTTTTTTTTTGCCAGGTTGATAAAGCAGCTGAGAAAAATTGTTGGATGCAAAAAAAAAAAGCTAAAATATAACATTAAAAAAAGAAAAAAAAACAAAAGAAAAGATAAACAGGAGAAAACAAAACATGACCGAAAAAATAGAAGAATTAATTGTATCAACAGAAGAACAGATGTAAGCAGTCAAATTTGTTTGAAAACGTCTCTTTCAGTTTTAATTTTCTTTAAAAAAATAAAAAAAAAGGAAAAAACAAAATAAAGAAAACGCTGAAAAAAGTAGCTAATAGGAAAAAAAAATTTTTCGATGTTCAAAAGCAAATGGTATGGTTAATTTTTTTTTTGTTATAAATACTAAATGAACATAAAACAGTGTGAAGATGGAGAAGAAAAAAGACAACAAGAACTGATAGGAAAAGATGAATTAACAATATTGTAAAGTTTTGAAAATTTCTACACAGCTTTTCTGTTTAGTCCACAAATTTGAGCATCAATAAAGTTAGTTTAGTTGGTTTTTTCCGTTTTCTCCTTCTCCTTCTTCTTTTCAGGTTTCTTTGTTCGTTTTTTTTTCCTTCCCCCTACAACAGAATACAATCTGTTTGATAAATCAGGCTGATCATATACCAGTTGTTGCTATACATACAATTGTATTTGAGGATAAGCACTGCAATAAACGGCACTGGTTGAATGTTTGAAAAACAAATACCGAATGCTATTTAATTGTTCCACTGCTGCTTAAGTATGCAGGAAAACAGTGAATAACAGAAGAAGCAGTCAAGGATTTGATGGACACTTTCAGATGTAAATCCAGGATTTTTAAAGCCTCAAAAGTCGTTTTTTTCCTTCTTTTTTTTTTCTTTCAGCTACTGCTCTTTTTGTTGTTTTTTTTTTTTGGTGTTGTTGTGCTGCTGCTGTTGCTGTCCGCAGCAAATTGAGAGAAATTACAGAACTAACAAAGCTGATAAAAAAAGAAAAAAGAGAAGTAAATAAATAAATAAAAAACGACATATAGAATATAGAAATATGCCGAATATTCAATAGTTAAACGTAAAACTATTTGGTGCAAAAAAATTTTTGGATAAACAAAAAAAAAAAAGCCAAAAAGAAACAAGAAATAAAAAGTAAAAAAAAAAATAAGCAGGAAAAAAAAAGAGTGCTCGTCAACAAAGTTCAAGAAATGTCAAAAATGTTATTGAGACACTTGTGGAAGGGTAAAATATGAAACAAACAATGGGTGAAGAGTGAAACGAGGATAAATGAGAGGAAGGGCAGTGAAAAACTGGGAAAGAAAAAAGGCGTCTTCTTTTCCTCCTTCGATTTCCAGCGTCAATCACGTCATAACCATAATACTAAAAAAGCCATACTTCAAATGTCGCATAATTGTTGGTTCGTTGATCTTTGTGTTATTTGTATCAAATTTCACAACTGTTTTCTACAGATACAGGCAGGCATACATACCAATTTACGAATAGATAATGGTAGTTGATCGATGATAATAACAACATTTTTTTCAATAAGTATAAAAATTATGAAAAGCTTGACGGCATTATCAACCAAAACATCATTAATAATTATAATGATGCTGTTGACAAAGATGAAAACAACAACAACAGCAAAATCAACAAAATATAAGCAACAGAGATAATGGTAGTAATAATGGTTATGATTATGATGATGATGACGATATTGACGATAATGATGATGACGATTGAAGATGATAATACTGCTGTTGTGGTAGTTTTTTAGTGGTTTTTGACGATGAGAAATCAGATATTCGCGAGAATAACTTTCCCACAAATTCTTCGGCAAAATTTGTATGTATCCGTGAGTGTGCGTGTGTGTGTGTATTTTTAGAAACAACTAAAAGTCCTTCACCTTTAGAAACAACTTTTAACTCAAAACAATAACAATAAAAGTAAAAAAAAGAAGAAGAAACAAAAGAAAGTAAATGTAAGTGAGAAAAAGTAAAACAGAATAATTTTCTCAACCATTTTTTCAGATAAAAGTTTTCTGTTTCATCCTTTTTTTTCTTACTTTTAGCTTTTTTCCTTTAAAATTTTTGCCTTTTTTTTTTTTTTTTTTTT